ACTTTTCTCTTGCTTATTTTAGTTACTAAATGAAGATTTAGTTTCCCATAAGACACTTAGTTTCCATTCAGAAAAAGCAGAGAAAGGATTAGTAGCCTGAGTACCAGATCAAATTCTCTTTTTAAAAACACATTGTCATTCAAAAAGTCCCTGGAAAATATATAGGCAAGTAATATATAAGAAAAGATTTCTAAAATTATAAGCCAAACATTAGCATCTCAACTAAATAAGTCATTTATCCTGTTTTGATATCTACAACTCTAAAACAAACAAAAGGTGGCTCACAATCTCTTATCCAAACCCTTATGGCCAGAAATTTCTCAAAATTATAATCTTTAAGATTTTAGAAAGAAAAGTAAAATAGTATATCACATATAGCATCACATCCTCCAAGTGGTCTAGGCAGCAACTGTAATCAAACACACTAACATATCTATATTAAGCTGCTTGAAAACTATAGTAAGAGGGATAATATAATACTAATTAAGTTAAGAGAAATAATTCCAATTGAAATTTACCATGTTTAAAAAACAAACAAAAAAAGATCAGTTTTCAGAACTTTTTGTATCTTGCATCTCTGATAAGTATACATGAAACCTTCTCACCCAATTTCATAAGAACAATGGTTTTCAAACTGAGAACTTCTACTTTGCACTAAGTATTGGACCAGGTATTAGCAGGAAAGGGGGGAGGGGCACAGAATCTTAACTTCAGAAAGCCCAAATCTAACAGGAACTCCCCATTTAGGGGTAAATATGTATTACCTTATAAATACAAATACAAAGTATCTTCTTCAACTAATGATTGTAGCCATATAAAATACTGCAAGAAATACAGTCAAAAGCAAAACAGGACCTTAATCACTCGATTCCTAACATTATTTTCTTAGTTCCATACAGACTACACATTTCTGTAAGAAGCTAGCCACTTATTTTATCATAGATAATTAAGCAAATATAAGAAAGGATTCAAGACAGTAAAGGAATACAGGACATCTTTCTCCCCATCTTTTCAAACTTGTTGCTTCTGGTTTGTGGCTTGGAAAATGAACACTCTGTCAGTATTAAGTGTCAAAAGACAATCTGGCAAAACAGTTCCAGTTAAGACATGTTTATGGAGAACCTACCAAGTATTATGCAGTATAGAAAGCACCAGAAATTCAAATACAAACAAAACAGAGCCCTACCCCTCAGATGCTCACAGTCCAGTGGATGTTTCACTGGAAGGTAAGGAGAGACAGCCAATTACAAAACAATGTGACACATATGATAATGGAAGTCTGAAGAATAAAATGCAACATAGCATGAGAATTCTGGGAGTCAAGAAAAATTTCATGAACAAAGTGATATCAGAGAAGAATTTTAAATAAGTTTATGAAGCAACAGAAGTGACAGTTAACCCCCAACACAAATGCATACACACATACACACACACACACACACACACACACACACACGAATGAAAAGAAAAAGGAAATTTCAGAGTAAATGGCAAATATAAATGAAATACCTAACTATATATAAATGAACTTAGATCCTGAGTCTAAGAACAGACAAAATATTAAAGAGTGTCCAGGAAAGAAAATTTTTCCTACATAACTCACTGTTGTGCATTTCCTCTTGTATAAGCTATGAGCTCTTAGCATTTTCTTATTTCATAATGCAGCATATCCCCTAAGTGACATGCCAAGAGATTTGCATCTAAAGTTCAGAAAACAAGCTGTCAGAAAATAGTAAGAATTTCATTTCCAGGTCAGTCTTAATAGTATATAAATGAATATGCCTTATCAGCATGATTTGTGATGAGCTAAAGTAGAAATCAAACCATGACAAACAGAAAACCAAGAAAAATTATATATTACTTAAATTGAAAAGGGGCTTAATAAATAAAGCTCAGGTAAAAGTTAATTTTTCTTCTACTTTTTTTTTTTTTACAAAGACAAATTGTCTACAACATCAATTTTAGCAAAGCTCTTTTCAACACATCTAGTATATGTCATAATTTAATTCCTTTAAATATTATAGGTAGAAATCATCCTTGATAAGGAAGAACAATCACCTGTCTCAAGGACCAGAATGACTCCTATCATAGTACTAGATATCTTGATAAATACTGTATGTAATTCTATTCAAACATTACAGTAGAACTCAGATTAACTCTGCCCCCAAAACTGCTCTATCTGGTAACTTCTTCTGCTTCTTTGTTTTAGTAAGTCCACTAGGGGCCCAGGTAACAAATAAAACTGTAAATATTTGAAAGTATCTTTTCCACAGACTGTATCACTATTCACATTAAGTTGTCCTCAAATGTTTATTTAAAGAAGCATATAAGATCCAGACTTTATTTTTAAATATGTGATCTTAACAAAAACTTTAGTTAAAAAAATATTATTATCACTGAACATCTCTTTTAAAGGGCAAAAAATTAAATTGTAAACTAAAATTACATTTACTAGCTTATGAATGTCTACTCACAATATTTACATATGAAGTACTTTTTAAAACTCTTCCGCATTATCAGACAATTTTATAAAGCCAACTATAACTTCTCGTGGAATGTGAAAAATTCTTTAGTGGTATTTTTCATAGTTTAAGTACTTTTAACACCAGTATCTACTAAAGAGACAAAAACCAAAAGTACTGGGTTGGAACTATTCCCAACGAAATCTACTCATAAATCTGAAGTACTTACTAATTTTTGAATAAAGAGAACTTTCACGTTTTAACTATAAAGCACCTCTGAAAAATCAAAAAGTAAATTAAACATCCAAAATAATAAACCAAAAAAAAAAAAAAAAAGAATTAGTTCTTTTAGGGAGGTATATCATTTGGAATTCTTTATTTTATATTTAAGATCAGGTACTTCTCAAATGAAGATGGTATAAATCATTCAAACATGCACTTTGCCCTCATTTTTCCACTCAAGGTATTAGCAGGAAGCCCTACAATCCAAATCTTTAGATAAAAGGGGGGAAGTACTATTTTAAATTAAGTGAGGTCTTGCAAAGTCAAGAAAAGAAGTGGATAGAGTAGAAGGAATTTTAGAGGAATTTTTTTCTTTTTTCAGTTTATTTTGTATTTCTTTTCCTTTAGATTTAATATTACAAAACAACTACAAACCAAAGAGTAATGTAATATACAGGGTTTACTAAGGATCTCGGTCTTCTAGTTCATTTAAGAAACATTTCAATGAAACAAGACCTGAATGTAGATGGACATGCATTTGAATGTACATTTAATCATTTCAGTCTACTGAGATTCTTAATAAGCCCTTTAAACCTGGGATAAAGTTACCTCCCCAAATTGTAAGATATCAACTTACTGACATTTGGCAAAGAACTGCTGTCAAATATACCTAGTATTCACAAACTCAATGTAAAGCTGGGTATGTAAATAGATACTTTTAAATTTCTATGCCCCCCAGTCCATTCTTTATTAATAATCTCCACTTATGTTATTTCAAGCAAATGGACAATGGCACCTATGATTCTTGAGCTCTAAAAATTCTTACTATCAAGCATGACAGGAAATGTGTTCCACTTTTAACATTTAAATTCAAGTATGGCTTTCCATGTGATCAGTACAGTACTTTCAACTATTATGCCAAAAATGTTATCAGAGTACTTAATTATTAAGAACTGTCCAGACAATAAATAAAGGAGTAAGATCCTCTGACCAAGAGTTTTACGAAAATGAAAGAAAATATGGTGCACTTGTGGTCTTTGGATGTTGAAAAGTGAAGCTGCCTACTAGGACTAGCAGGAAGTTGATGTTAAGGTGCCTTCCGAAGTCAGTGGTACCCGTATGTAAGACTTTTGTGGGGACGATAGCGTACTCACAGCGCCCAGAATAAATGCAAATTTTAAAAATGCTTTTACAAAAGAAAACTTATTCGTTTTCGCTAAGGGCCATAGTTACCAAGAGTCAGAAGCTTTTTCTAGACATACAACAGAACCTCAACTAAGAATTAGGAAGGGCTTCTCTTAATCCGATTCATTTCTTTCATGAAACTTTAAAGTTTAAGACCTAAAAGCAAAAAGTGGAGAGGCCCCGGCGGAAGTAAAAACATTAGGGCTTGCAACTTCACAAACAAAAACAGCGTCTCGGGTTCCTCCGCCTCCCCAGGACCGTCAGGACTCGGTCTCTACTACACCACGGAAGCTTCAACCTCCGGGTGCGGTGGCAGAAGCAGCATCACAGTTGCACTCCTCCTGCCTCCACCATGCACGGCCTTCGGTAGCCCAGGGCCTGGAAGCTCCTGAGGCCCGTTAACCAGTGTCCCCCATCTTACACTTACATACACAAACAAAAACACACAAGTGGAGGATGATGTGCGTGAATTGAGAGAATGTGAAGAACCAGGGACCAGCAGCTGCTGGGAAGGTGGCAAAGCCGACCAAAGCGGGCCGGGGCTCCTCGGCTGCCGGCGCTGCCACCTTCTCTTTTCACCCCAGGAAGCAGCGCGGCGGCAGCCGCTCCTCCGCGCTGGCGGGAGCCCGGGGGAGTGGAGTCCGGGAAAAGCCCGGCCGCCCGCGGACAGGACTGGGCCTAGGATCTGGAGCCGGCGCTGCAGCGGCCCGAGTACAGCGACGCTTTACGTCCCGTCCACCACCCCCCATACACACCCCCTCCCTCCCTCCACCGCCGCCACCCCCCCTCCCCGCCCGCTCCGCTCTCCCTCTCTCGATTGGAGCCGAGACAAAAGCAACGGGAAGCGGCGGGCCGGGACGCTACCCGCGGACCCCGAGTGCGACAGGGCCGGCCCCGAGGCATTCCCCCGCCTTGCGGGGGCCCCGAATCCGCCGCCCCCGCCGCGCGCCCCGCTGCCAGACTTCCGAAAATTTGCCAAAAACTCACCGCATGAATTTTCTTGTCCCGCGGATCCAAGATGGCGACGTATCCACCGCGGAGGCTGCTGGGAGCAAGACCTTTACCCTCTGACCCCCGCCGTGACCCCCGTCGCTCCGACTTCCCTCAAGGCGGCGGCGGCGGAAGGTGGGAGCTGCGACAGGGTTGGGGGTGGGTAAGCTGCTTCCCGCGCGCTTGTGAGAGGAAGAGGAGAAATGCTTCACTCCCCCACCGCCCACATCGAGACTCTACGGTGTCTCCTACCTACTGACTGAAAGGCTTGTCGCTCCGCGGCCGTTACAGTGAGCGGAGCCTCTGCGGCAGCTGCCTTGCTCCTAAAGCCAGGTTGCTTCGCACTGGGTTCCGGCCTTGGGTCCGAGGGGGGCCGCGGGGTCCAGGGGCGGGGAATGGTGAGGTGGCGTCGGTCCGCCCACCTGGGGGACGCTGAGCGTGTTTGTGTTTGTGTTTGTGTGCTGTTCCCCGCCCCCCCCACGTCCGCTTCGAGACCGGCGCCCTCGCACCTCTTGGAGCAAATCTGATGGCCGTCCGGTTTCCTTCCCCAGCCCCTCAGCCTCCGGTGGTCGTGCACTCACCTCCAGATACCGACAGCCCGTCACCGTCAGTTCCTGAGAAGTGAGTTGTCTTCTGCCGAAACCATTGGTGTCTAATCACTCCTCCGTCTTTTTTTTTTCAAACCGGTGGTATAAAGTAAAAATGCAGAGCTGGTTTTTAAAGCACTGGTGTATGAATTTACTCAAGCCAATTAGGATTATGGCACTTTATTTAGCTGCCACTCCCCATTGTCCTTATAAGCCTGGGTAACCATCTGGGTCATCACCAAGACCTTTTGAAATGATGATGGCTTTAGTGGAAACTTTAGGGAGTGACATCTGCTTTCCAGAAAAGTAGTTGTCTCTGAAAGTGAAATTAAACCTTTTTTTTTTTTTTTTTGCAATACAGTAGTCTCCCTTTATTCCTTTGTATCCTTAAATTCAGTTTTTAGAATTATTGTGCATTTTGGGTTTAAAAGAAAGCCTCTGTAGGGGCTGCGGTTGTGGCTCAGCGGTAGAGCGCTCGCCTAGCACTTGCAAGGCGCTGGGTTCCAGCCTCAGCACCACATAAAAATAAATAAATGAAATACTAAAAAAAAAAGAAAGAAAGCCTCTGTATGTGTTTTGAAATTGTGTAGTTTCATAATGTAAAAAAATGTTCTCTATTTAATAGAGTTTATTAATGTAAAGCACAGTTAATTTGAAGTAAACAAAATTTCTGCTTTTCTTGGTGGTTTCTTTTATAAAATCATTTTCTCCCCAAAATATCACTATAATCCAATTTAAATTTGTCATTGAAGGCAAAATCAGGAAATAGCATGAAAAATAGCATATTCTGAAATCAAAGATAACCTTATCATGTTTTTGAATACAAGGTTTTTTGATATACCAGCAGATGTATAAATTTAACTCCAAATGGTGTTGGTGTAACCAGTAGAAAATGTTCTCTTATCATTCCTTTCATTAAACTTTCTGCTTCACTGTGGTTTTTATTTCAGGAAAAAATCCTCCCCCAACCCTTTCTTCTTACTGCTGCTTCTGCTTTCTCTTCTTCTTAAGGCTGTGTATTAAAAGACTGCCTCTGTATACACATAATATATATATATGTGAGTACGCGTACATATGAATATGCTTTATTGAACACCTAATCTAGCTATTAATAATTTGAAAATGTAATTACTAGTGATTTGAAGCCATGAAATGGAGTGATTAAAAGTGGGATACTTGGGGCTGGGGATGTGGCTCAAGTGGTAGCACGCTCGTCTGGCATGCGTGCGGCCCGGGTTCGATCCTCAGCACCACATACCAACAAAGATGTTGTGTCTGCCAATAACTAAAAAAAAAAATAAATAT